CAATGACAAAAACGTTGGTGCGAAAAAAATAATTCGCAAGCGAAATTCGCACCCGAAGTTCGCATCGGTTTTTCGGGCATATGGAATGTCAGCTTTAGCCGCATTTCTTTCGTTCGTGAACTGTGGACCAGGCCAGGGAGGTTGGTGTCGTCGTCTTGAGTTGCTGTCGCCTGTGGATACACTCAGAGATTCTTCCTTTCACCTGCTCTTTCACTCATACTGTCTTTCCATTCAGAGCTCAGCTCGTCATACGTTCAAAAGTTGCCCTCTGATCATGTTTACTTAGTGTGTGTATAAGTTTGTGTGTGTACATGTGCATGATGGTGGTGGGTGTGTGGTGGGTGTTACTGAAAGTTGTCTGTAGGCGGGCTTGCCAGGCGGTGTTCCTTCCCAATCCCAGACCAGAGACAGAATGAAAGTTGGTGCCGTACTCTCGCAATAAATGGGCAAAAAAATCACGAGACCGGAAACCGTTCGGAGAAATAAAGATTGGCACTATTTCTCCGAACGTTCGGAGAAATAGTCACTTCGTATTTTACAAAGGTAAAGAGGAGAAAAAAAAACAGGGTTTTAGAACAGTGTCTTTATAATATAACAGACTTCTCGTTTTTTCCGGACTCATTATAAATGTACTCCACTGTAGTATGAAGTACGGCTGTGGTCAGTCTAGCTGCCTATCAGCCGTTCGTTGCTTTCGTTGCCTGTTCCTTCCTGCTCGTTGTTTTGACACTCTGGAATTTCTGTGCCTTCCAGACCATGTCATCCCATTCTTGAAAGCATTCAAAATCTAGACTAGATTAGTAACAGGGACGACGATAGATCTAGAATCTAGAGTCTACATACATCTAGACGATTAACAACATGCAACAACAACATGCAATAACAACACTTACGTCTCGAAGATAGCAAAAACAGTTGACAATGATGGCCTCTTTCACTTGTGACTTCTGACAATCTTGAATCAAATCAAAGCGATAGATCTAGATTCTAGATCAAGATTAGTCTTGATTCTAAAGACCTAAAGAGCAACCGTGGTATTTGTGACGGTAAGCGTTGGAAAGGTTCACCACAGTGCGCGAATAATTTACCTCTGCTGTTGTTTAGCCTAGTAGTAAGTAGTAAGAGAGTAGTAGCTTAGGCGTAGTAGGCCTATGTTTACTGTTTACTTCCGTCCGCCGGCCGACGTCCTGGTTTTTATTCGCTGTGCAAAGGGCTTTCCTCGCTGAACAACCAATCAGACCATACGATTTTCTTGCCGGATACAGCACAAGCAGTTGATTGGATGAGGAACCGATCGATCCCTCAACCATCAGCGTAGGCTAAACAGGAACTTTCCTGGAATTTCTAATTTCTTCGGATCACGCAAACTATATGGGAGTTCTTGAGTTCCTACACTAATGATGACACAACATTAAATTGTTGTGCTGTTTCGAGGGGAACTGTCGAGTCATAGGTCCAGGCTTGGTTTAACTGATTCTGCAACTGATTGTGTATTGTTCCCGCCTTATTTATTATATGGGAGTGCTTATTTGGGCCACATATGGCCTAAATAAGGTAAGGGAGGGGGGTTTAGCTTATATAGGCCACAGGTGGCCTAAATAAGGTAAGGGAGGGGGGTTTAGCTTATTTAGGCCACACATGCTCAAACTACCAGGGGACACCCTTTTAAGGCAACTGAGTTCG